TGATGCATAAAAGTATTTTTAATCTTAGGCAACATACAAAAAGAAAAAGAAGACATGAAAAAAACATTGCTTTATAAACCTTAAAATTTATTTAAAAAATTGATATTTTGCGTATGAAAGCATTGTGATGTTTACTGATAATCTGCCAAATTTCGTTAACATTTGCTTACTTACTTAAAAGTTATAGCATGAAAACTATAACAAGCACAAAATGGTTACAAGGTCAACCCCCAGGGACTGAGCTCGTGCTGAAAGAGTTAATCAAATTTTAAAGTTGTGTTTTTATCCTTTCCTAACAAGTGACTTAAAAAATTTTAGTATGTGCCTGCTAGTTCTTTTATTCTTTTCTAACTTTAGTAAAGTTGTCACACCTTCCTTGAGAGTGTCTAAGTACTATTAACAGTTCACAAAAAACTCTTCTGTAATTTAAGAAAATTTTACTCTCATGAGATCAGTACATTTCACATAATTTCATTAATTTTCTGTTGTTTTACTATGTTTTATAAGGTTAAAACCAATAAAAGACAAATGAAACTCAGTCTGTTTAATACTTTTTTATGTAATAAATAATAACTACATTTGAAGTTCATGTTGACTGTTTCAAAATTTCTGTAATTTTTATAATTTTGCTATCCACATATACGTTGTTTATATAGACATAACTACTATATGAAATGTTTTTAAATACTAATTTATACATTTTTTCTCCTCAGACCAAGCCCCAACCATTACAAAAATCGAGGTAATTCATAGTGATGGAAGTGTTGAGGTAAACAGCACCTTAACAGCTGAAACGTTGAATATGATTAACAAAATTACACCAGCTTCATTATCTCAGGTATTTGCTTTTTTTTTTTTAGTGTATTGTATTAGTTAGTAGGTAGGCCTGGTTCTCACATCAAACACATTTGTCTTTACTGTCAGCGATGGACATACTCAGAGGCATCACTAGGCAATGGCAAATGGGGCCCATGCCCTGGTTCTAATTGACAGTCCCCTGAATCACCAGTTGGTGTTTTGAAATATCAGAATAAAAAACCACGATTGATATCATACTGAAACACTGAAAATTCCTGTGCCTATGGGCCTGGTCTCTGAATCTTTTAAGAACCTAATTATGCCTCTGGACATTCTTGTATGTTGTTATGCAAGATCAGACTAACATATAGTATACATCAAATGGATATTTTATTGTCATTGTACCCCCACTAGACTACTGCATTTTATACAATAAATGGGTATGGATTTAATCTGTACATGTAGAAAGACTAGTGTAGTGATTTGTGACAAGTGGATTTAAAGAGAGAAAACATGGCATTAAACTCATTATATGATAAAATACTTTATTTGGAATGATGATGATGAATAACTGATCATCTGTAGTATACTACATTTTCAAATGCTGATCACGTACGCTATGCTTCATCTTAACTGCATCTCATTTTCAAGTTTTTTTAAATTTTCTATGAACCTAGAAACATTATATTTTAATTTTCTTTTCTTTACAAAATAGTAGTTCTACTAGCAAAACAAGGACTGGACTTGATCAGCAAATTCTGATACCATATCTTACCTCCACATAATAGCTTTCCTCAATTTTTGCTCACCACTAGCATTGAGGTTCCCACCTAACATCATGTGTTTACACGTGGTATAGCAGCATTCTAGCATGTAAGTAAGCATGCAACAACCCTCCACTAGTAGGTGTGTGACACACCCTCCTAATGCAGCTGACTTCATCTATGTTTCAGGACACAGTCATAACTTCTTAATTTGGCATTTGTGTCTAATGACATGTATTTTTTTCACACATGAATTTTTCAATGGAAGTATCTACAAAAACATTGTTTCACAAATGTCAGTAACTTCCACTTTGTCTGATGTGAAACAATATGACTTTTTTCACTCTAACCTACCAACTATATTGGCATTGGGTTTGTTTTTGTTTCTTGGGAGAGGTGATTTATCTGACACACAGTCTGTCTTGATTCTACCTCACCTTTTATCCTCCTTTCTTTGTTTCCTCGTATGACTAGGTATGAGTTTTTTTACCACCTTCCTTTGCCTTATCTAATACCCATACTGTCTTGATTGTACCTCAAGCGTTGTTCCTTCATATGACTAGGTATGAGTTCAGGCTGTATTGCTTTTATTTGATTCCTAAACTCTGGAGTCTATTCTACAGATTTGGGGGTCAGATAGTCTGTCTTTTGTTCATTTTTCTTAGGCGTAGGTTTTCCTACCTTTGTCTGACATACATTACTTTTTTCCATTATTATATCTTCTTTAATCTTTTTTCTGTGGTAATCCACCATTCCCTTGTGGGGTTTTGACAGATGCTCATTCACTTATCTTTTCTACAATGATATGTTTATCTTCCTTGGCATTTTTGCTTCTTGTTTGGTTGATTTTTTGCTAGAGTTGGTTGGAGTGTGATTCCCTTGTTTCTCAAATGCTTTTCCCTTCCTTATTTCTCATATGCTTTCTCCTGGCTCCTTTCATCTGCCTGTATGAATTTACTTTTATGCTTGTATCTCTGGTGTTGTATGTTGAGGCCGCATGCCAATCTTATGCCTTATCCTCACTGGTTTATTGTCTCTACCATGCTCCTTCTTTGCCTTTCTCTGTCACCACCTCCCATTCCTCTTTCCACTGCTCATTTACTTTGGTGCTGTCAGGATTAGAAGGGCCTGTTTTGTTTGGTCTATGGACCTTTGCCCTCTGTTTGTGACCAATTATTGAGTACTGGGATTTCTGTCAGAAAGCCTTCGTCTTTATCATTTCCTCTCTTCCTCCAGTGTCTCCTGTTCCCATTATTTTACATCCTTCTGGTCCATGTTAGTGTTGGTCCTAATGGTTACAATTACTATTGCATGGGTTGCTTTTCCTTTTTCCAGGTTTTTCTTCCCATCTTTTCATGGTTCCCAGGGAATGTGTAGATAGGTGTTAAGTCTTACATCTTTCATTTCTCAGTTATTTTCTGGTCTTCCCTTGCTTTTACATGGGGTATTTCTCACCCTGTGGTGGTCTTTCAACCCAGTTCTTAGAATGACTGAGGTGGACATCTTGGAAGCTTCTTTTCTCATTTGACACTATCCCAACAAGCCTTCTACACCCACTCTCTTCTCCTTCTTTGGGAGGCAGCACATCTGGATTGGTTCATCTTGAAAGAGTATCATCTCACACCCATGTCATTTCTTATTCATTTGGGTGTTTTTTCGTTTCTCAGTCTGGGCATAGCCTTCTACTCTTATTTTAGAGGAACATGGAGCAATTGGTTTCCCATGCCACATCTTCTTCCTTTACTGTGCATGTGGTTCTCTCTCTTGGAGACAAGGGTTTCCATGGAATCCCGCATCTCCCTGGGTCATACTTATTTGTTACAGCTGCAGTGGACATGTTCTCTGGATCCTTGCTTGGGATCCCTTGTCCTCAACCATTCCTCCTTCCTCCTTCCTTTCTCAAATACTTCACCTGGTAACTTGATCAAACTACTCCCATAGTGGGTATTCCTCCTCTTCTCGTCTGGCTCTCCTTTTTTTCTAGATGCCATCTTGATGATATGGGGGCATATCTTGAATCTCACCTGAAGTTGGGTCATTCTTGTCACAACCTAACGTCCCTTCAAATCCATTTTATTTTACTTTTGTCAGTACATCAAATTCTGGATTTCTTTTAGGATGGTTCATAGACATCTCTTGATGATACAAACAGTCAACTCTGCAGTTGTCTCCTTTATCAGTCACCATAATAGTTCATTCTATTCTGGGTGTCCTGAGTCTCATCATGGATTGTCTCTTGAGACTTATCAAGATACTACTGATGGATTGGTCCCTCATTCCTCTGGTGTTCAATTTGCTGTCCTCTCATCTGGACACTCTTATTCTTAATGTTTTTTGCCAATCTTCTAAACACCCTACTGCCCTTTTTCTGGTCCCCTGTTCATCTTCCCTCAACTTTAGCTATCAGGACTGGTCCAAACTTTTTTTCTCCATGCTTTCCCACCTATCATCTTATCCCTTGAGTTTTCCCTCATTCTGAACACTCCATGTTGAGTCCTCTTGATAACTCTTTACTGGCCGTGTCAGTTATGGTTTCCTCCAGTACACCTTCTCCTTTTCTCTTACATCTAGCAATCACCACCCCAACTTCACCTGTGGGTTTTGTTTTGTCCCTTGCAAGATGTTCCAGACTCTCTTTACATGTAGCTTTCCTTCTTTCTTGTTCGGTTCATTCTTCCTTCCTCCTTGTCTATTCATGACAAAGGTGAATATTTCATTGTTGTTCTTTGCATCATGTTTTCTTTCATTCCTTTCCTTCTATCCCCCATTTTTTCCTTGGCCCGTTCAAATGAGGCTTATCCCTTTCAACCATGGCTGGTTACTGGGCAGCTCTACCTAATACTTTTGGGTTTTCTTATTATTGTCATGTATCATCCACATCTTGCAGCCCTTCTTGATATGGACCTGAATACTGTTCTCCATGCCCTTACTATTCCTCTCCATTTAGTATCTTGTTCCTTGTACCATCTTTCACTTAAGTCCTAATTTTTACTTTTGCTTGTGGCCATAAGAAATATGATATGTATACCATTGCTGCTTCCCTTATTTTTTCCTTCCTTTTCTAAATATTATTTTCATTCTATTACAAATCGTTTTCTCTGTCCCACCCACGTGTTTCATTGTTCTATGGCCCACTCTACTCCTTTTCACTGTTCATGCTCCCATTTATTTATTCTTCAGAATTCTTCGTTTCCCTGAGAGATTTCTCCTATTACTCTGAAGAGATGGCTACAGCACCTCATTTAGCCTATGCTTCATTGGATGTAGATTCACATCGACTCTTTCAAGTCTCCTCACCAAATCCAACATCATACTCTCTCTCTGGCTCTTTATGTCCATTATCCATTGGAGGGGTTCATGGAAACTGGTGGGTGGACTGACCCACTTACTTTTGTCACACCTTTTCTTCATCTTCTGGCCGTATCTTCTTCTTCCAGATATTGACTTCCTCCTGTTACCATTCTACACACCCCTTAGTGGTTCTGAATGGATAAGTTCTCTTTTTTGTATATTTTACCTTTACAGTGGCATATTTCTACATCTCTGAATTCCGCTCAGTGGCAAGTGTTGTCTGTTCGGGTATACATAATTTTAAATTTGAACCATACAACCTTACAGGTCCATAATGCTCACTGATGAGATGGGGTGTTGCACAAGATTGCTAGAAGATTCCTTGTAGTGTCTTGCTTCATAAATAAGGCCCATACCAACTCATGAACTATTATGAGTAAAGTAGTGTTGTGATCGCTGCCCATCCCTCCAGTCCTAGTTGAATAAACCGGGACTGGCCTGCTTTTTAAAATATGGTTTTCATGGTCACCCATTGCACTATATTACAATGTTGCATTCCTACAGACTCCCCACCACGTTATTCTCCCCCTCTTCCAGTGGAATACTGGAGTCCTTGCCTCTTACCAGTTCCTAGTTGCTGTGGTGATGCAACAAGGAGGCCTCCTCCTAGGTGTGACCATATCCACTCAGTCAAGAGTAGGGCAGTGGTGTTCTGTCAGTGTAAATGGTGAGTACTCTTCTCCTACCACAGACCAGAAGACAAATTCCTGATACCACTGGTTTTGGATTGGATGAGTCCACCACATACAGTTCATCCCTCCATGCTTTCCCCATGCTATCACTGCCTGGATGTCAGTTCCCAGACAGTCTGGTGTTGGATCAGTGTAAGACCAGCTGACATAAATCCTCACACATCTGGTTTGTTAAGAACTCTTCTACTACTGCAGACCAGATGAAAAAATTCCCAACGCCACCTGGTTTTGGACTGGAATTGACCCCCACTTTGCATTCTCCCTTCCTCCCATCACCCAGATGTTAGATTCCTAGATGGCTTGGTGTTGGTTGTGTACTGGGTCTGCACGTTGCATATCTGGGTTGTTGGAACAGAAATTGTTTTTCCTTCTACTTCCTGGATTTCAGGTGAAGATGATTGGAACTCTTCTCTTATCATGGACCGGAAAACAAATACCTGTTGCCACCTGGTTTTGAACTGGAGTTGACCCACCGAATACGAACTGACACACCCTAGCCACTCTACACTGTCTTGGATGTCCTATTATTGATTGTACCAGTGTCTTTTCTGCCTGATTTAGTGACAGGTTATCTTTACAATGGGCAAAGAGTATACCTGGTACAGATGGGGTGCAATCTCCCATGAGTGTGACCCTATGCATTAGGGTAACTCACTTCATTGGTTCTCTTTGGGTGCCTTCTGAAGAGTGCTCATCTAGATAACTTTTGCACTAGTCCCTCCACATATTCTAGCTATTATGCGAGTGAAAGTGAGATATTGTATCGGAAGTTAACACTTTCCTACACTGAAAATATATTTCTGATAGATACCTCCTCTCACACTTCTCACCCATCCTCCCCACTTCTGTTGCATCTATTTTTGCCTAATCTTGAAGTAATGATTGTGCTCTACAGTCTAGAGGGAATCAGATGCATTAAGAAGTGTGTCACTCTCCTATTAGTGGAGGGTTATTGCATGCTACAATGCAGATATACCACGTGTAAACAAGTGGTGTTAGGTGTGAGTCTCACGCCTATTGGCAAGCATAAATTGCGCATATAGAGGGCAGCACACTTTGACGAAAGCTATTATCAGTTATCTATAGGAAATACATTTTCAGTGAAGGAAAATATTAACTTTTGGTGCTGTCAGGCATGAAAATCCTCAGAGGTCAGAAATGATCTTTTCTGAAAGCACCAAACTTCGTTATATGCACTTCTGTAGCTAACAAATTAGAAAACAGACACTAGATTGCATAAATATCTGTACTTCATGTGAAAGTTGGAAGGTAGTCCAGTATACATAAGGTGAAGGTGAATACAATGGAACTATCTCACAAAACAGTAGATAAGGTCCTTGACTGGAAAGTCTATAGAAAATAACACTTCTAACTAAATTTATCAAATCACCTCAACTGGATTTAGAATGAGCTTAGCAATTTTTTTAAAACTTGAAAAACATGAAATATATTCTATGGAAGAGATATCTAGTAGTTGCATAATATAGTATGTCATTCTACATCAGTAAACTATTGTATGTTATATGTTATTAAATAGGTCATATACATTATTTTACAGCATTAGATACAGTGATTTGGTACAGTATTTTATACGAATCTCATATATGCCATTATATAGTTTATATGTAATTTGGATTTTCTTAACATGGAATTATGTTGATGTATACCAAAATATAACTTTAAAATTACATATTTTTGAAAATAGATTTTTCTAGTACGTTTGTGGACATATAAATATTGTAATTTTATAATTTTGGCTATGTTAATACTCTAAATAGAATTTTTAAGTTGAATGAGACTTAAAATGCTTAGGTGTAATATGCTGTTATATTGTAGTACTATAGAAATAATAATAAATTAAAACTGAAATTAACTATTATTGTATTTTACTTTTCTATTGTCTTTAGTAAAGATAAGATATATATATATATATATATACTCTTTTCACAATAGGTTTACATTTTGTTGCAAAAATAGTTTTTCAATGTTTAAAAATTCGAGTACACCTTTCTGCCTTTTTAGCGGCCTTTTGAAACTGTGAATTCTTTGCCTATTGCTAACCTCAACTTGCCAGAGACAAGAAATCAAGACCCTCAATCAGACATTGCAACAATTATCTTTGTTCCTGACAGTCAACATAGCTTAACCTCTGGACACACCTCTTTTGCTAAAACATCTTCAAAGTCCCACACAATGAGAAGCAGTAGTTCTCTACCAGCTGAAACCACCTTGACTAGCATTGCTAGCTTACCAGCCATGAGTTCTGGAAACTGTTAAAGCATTACTATCAGCCACAGAGCTCATATCATTGTAGCACCAAATCTGGAAACTTTAGTAAGTACACTGTATACAATTGTTGAACTTACTTTGTGTGCAGTTATTTACTCAAAATGTTTCAGTGTTATGACCCAGCAACATTGAAAATCCATCACAATATTCTAACTTTTAGTTACCATTGTTATTATTATTCATATCATAAGTTCTAAAACGTCTATCAATTCCAGTTGTAAGTTTAATCAGAATGGACAGTTATATCTTACCATCCCAGAGTTTATGTAGGATAAATACTTGCATTAGTAACTTCAGCATTGAGTGACCATTACTATGATACTACCTGTTCTAAGTAATTGTACTACTTTTAATACCAGTCATTACTTCAATGCAATATCTGTAAGAGTTTTAAACCTACCACTGAATTCTGTTAGAATTATCCTCAGTAATTCAATTTGGTGATTTCACTGTTAAATTAGAATATCTTTTAAACAGAAAACATGTAATCTCATACATGGATCAACTAATCCGGTAATAACAAGAATTGGTATTCTATAGTGTAGAAGAACATAATACTGAACATTACTTTAAATGCTTGATTCAAACTTATTAGTTTTAGTTGTAAAAAATAATTTGTCAGTACATTGGTTCTTAATTTGTGGTCCATGGAAAGGTTACATAAATACAAAAAGAAAGTGACAACAGAATGTATGAACAAAAATCTGGTGCTTCACTAACAGATATTTTTCAAAACCACTGATGCCTATACAAATGTAATTTTGATTTTGATGATTTTTAAGAACATGAATTTTACTTGCTCCAAGCATTAAGACTTCAATGGTGCTACTATAGTATGCAGTCTACTTGGATTTTTACACTATAGTATGCGGTTTACTGGGATGTTTACACTATAGTATGCGGTCTACAGGGACGTTTACACTATATTATGCAGTTTATCGGGATATTTACACTATAGCATGCATTCTATTTTTATGATATAAATAAAATAAAATTATGTGCTAAACAATTTAAATATAAATAAAAGAAAATTATGTGCTAAACAATTTATTGAGTAAACGATGTACACTTTGAATATTATGTTACAATTTTACATCACATGCTTTAGTGATATACAATGTGACATATCTTATATAATTTTACATTGTGTTAGAAATAAATCATCATTATCCGAACAATTTATGTAATTTCACATCACATGCTCTAACAATATACATTTCGTATATCGTTTAAAAATGCTACAAATAAATTATCTACATCTTCTCCTACAACTTTCCAACAAAAGTTATCAAGATGAGAGTGAAAAAGCTCTTTGCTGATTCCCCTCATTTTCTTAAGAATGCTTGTTTTAGTGTCCAACCAAGACCGCTCAGTCACTTGGGTATTGGCTCTTGTAGCTGGATTGGTGTAATTTTCTTGGTGATTGACCATACTTTGGCAGTAACCAATGGCATTTAGATTGCCATAGGTTGGCCATTCATCAGAATGAATAACCGAACCAGATTCACATTCCTGCTCAATGATGGGGATCAAAGTGTTTCTGTCACGCCAAATCACATAGAATGTTTTGTACAACTGCATCACTATCTTCAGACAGAGGAGCTTGGTCACCATTTAACATTCTCCCACGATTATATTTTTGTCGCCCGGCAAATCTAGTTTCATCAATTTGAATTGGGTTATTCTTTGTGCCAACCATCTTATCTCTTGCACGATTGGAAACAATGGCTCCACACACTTTTCGGAACGTATACCAGTCAGTTGCAGTGTTATAAGATTTTCCAGTTAGAGTAACTGCTGCATCCATTGGTATTTTCAATACAAAAAATAACACCAGTTCTAAAATTTCGCACAAAATCAATTTACAGTTCAATTTGTTGTTGATGTCCGAATAATGGAAAAATGTGTTGCCTCTCTGAACAGAACGTGAAGTTTGGCACCCTTTCTAAGAACAGTGAAGTACAGGCCTAAAATCTCCATCTCTGTCACATTTTCTTTTTTCTTGCATGATGCTACCACATTGATGACAAGATGCTGCTTCTTGTGGTGCATCCAGAGATTATGCTCATGTAAAAATGTTATGGCATTGTCTACTGTCAAGATCACTCTTCTGTAAAAATCTTTCAGCAACATTGTTAGTAGCAACAAAATTTTTTCCAACACTTATGTTCTTAACTTGAACTCTAGAACGATACTAATTTTTGTCTTCATGATTCCCCCCTTTTATATTCAATGTCACTTCAGGTGAGTTGAGGTCAGGTATTAATGACCTCATCACCTGTGACCATGGTGCATAGACCAACTCCAGCTCGGGAGACTGCATACTGTGAGTAGACCCTCCAGCTCTGTAGACCAAATACTTTGGGTAGACCAACTCCAGCTTGATAGACCACATAATATAGCAGCACCAATTCAATGTTATTGCCAGAACTTAGAAAAATTCAAAAGTTTGACCTTGTTATTAAAGTTTTCTGGATATAAGGATTCATAAATATTTTTGAGACTAATGTGAGTGTCTTTTCAACTAAAGTGCACTTGATATTTCACAGTTGACAAGATCATTATAATTACCACTTATTAAAATATTCTGTGGTATGTTGTATGTTTCATTGTTTAACACTGACAAAATTGTATACATAAAGTAAGCATAAATCATATAGCTTTTGCATTATAAATACTTGTTTTACTTTGCACAACATAAAGTATAAAATAGGCCTAGAAGCTATGTTTTTTAGGTTAAAGTAAACCAGTCTTTACTTCTTTTATTTGACTTGATTAAATTATAACAGTATTTTTTCACTTGAGTCTGAAAACAAAATTCTCTTAGATTACAAACACGTACCTTTTGCACCATCTTTATAGTACAACTTGAAAATTTTCATTTTGACCTATTGGGTATGGACAGTGTTTGTTACAATAGCCCTTGGACTCATTTTAACACAAGAGATGTACTCCCTAAGTTTTGCCATAAGTGGCCCTATCAGGTGTGTTAACATACACTTGAAATCAACTATAATATATGAAACAAATGATGGTATAAATGAAATTTTTAGTTAAACAACAAAATTTAATAATTACTTTTGCTATATGCACATTTAGTTTTCACATTGAACAGAGCTGTGGCTCATGCATGAGGCACCCGGCATGGCCAGGTAGCTAGGGTGCTCAACTTGCAGTCTGAGGGTTGCAGGTTTGAATCCTCGTCACACCAAACATGCTCACCCTTTCAGCTGTGAGGGTGTTATAATGTGGCGGTCAATCCCATTATTCATTGGTAAAAGAGTAGCCCAAGAGTTGGCTGTGGGTGATGATTACTAGCTGCCTTCCTTCTAGTCTCACACTGCTAAATTAGGGACGGCTAGCGCAGATAGCCCTCGTGTAGCTTTGTGCGAAATTCATAACAAACCATGCATGAGGCAAAACTACTTTTTTACTGTACATATGATGTTTGAGTTGTGTTTTACTCATCACAGTAAAACTATATTTATATAGGACTTTAAGAATATGCAGCATTGATGCTACTACTTTATTCTTATGAATTATTCAGCAGACAAACTGTTTAAATAGTTCAAAATAAATATGAAACCAAGCCCATCATTCAGTTTACCACTTGTTACTGAACTCTACTGGTTTTGGGGTCTTCCACCCCCTCTACAATAAGCCTGGATAAAGGCAAATCAAGAAAACAAGATCAGGCTTCACATGGTGGTGGAGTTTATGTTATATGCATGGTCTCTTAAATTGTCTTTTTTTCACCACAGTGAACTTATGTTTATATAGGATTTCAACAATATGTAACATTGCCTAACTTCAAAGTGAGCTTGTTATAGCATCTATCACAAAGTCTCGTACCTCAGAAAATATGGGCTTTCTTAGTTTTATGTAATCTTGTGCAATTCCAAAAAAAAAGGTTAGATTTATGAAAGCATTTTCCATGCAATTTTAGAATTTATACATTATGTTTTACACCAAGACTTAATGTGAAATTAATGATACTTCTTAAAAAAGAAACCCAACTAAGATATAGTTGTTAACATAAGAGTTTTGTAGTAGTCTTGTAATACATAATTAGCATACATACTGTTTTTTATTTTCAGGTCAACTTTTAGGTGAATATCTACTTTGTCACTCTTGTTTTATGATACTTCTTTGTTTATTGTAAATTTAACTAACCTGAAATATAACTTACTATTATTATTCATTGCAAAATGTTTAAAAATTGAAGGTAATACTTGTTTTTTCTGTGAAAAAAATCTAGATTTTGATTTCTGCCCTGTGGTGCACATTGGGCATAACTTGTTCTGCTCTAAAATATTTTTATAGTTATCATTTGATAGATTTGATTTCTTGTATTATAATAATGCCACTAAAATGTGGCTAAAAATTGTATGTATTTTTTTAATTAAAGTAACTCTCTTAACCATAGAATTACTAATCGAGTCCATGTTTCATAGGTTTTGTAAACATGTTTATAACTGTATGCACCAAATTGATTCTGGATCTATAACTTGGTTGGTTACAGAGTGTCTAATAAAGCAAAAGTCACAAAAACTTTAAACAAAAGTGTCATATGTGTTACAATTAATTCCAATAATTATTGCTAGGGTCGTATATTATTTGTCATAGAAAATTTATGACTTCACCCTATGTTTTTGGCCAGTACTTTACACTGGGGGATTATAACGTGAAACTATTCAGTACAATACAATATGTGGACCCAAGTTGGTAATTTAAAGATTAAGCCATTGATTCTTTTTAATCATATACGAAACTAGAATTGGAAAAAAATATTTGTTAAATATCCTTTTTTTTTTCTGTATTTTAGCTATTAAAATACTCTGAAGTAAAATGATTTGTCAGTCTTAGTTGTTTCTTACTAAAGTATGTTTTTGCATGTTGAATTGTATAACCTGAGTATAAAAATTAATCAGATGAAGGAAGATAGCATTGGAAATAGAAATTCATTAAATATATTTCCAAGTATCACTTCTATTTTCACTCATTTTGATAGTTATTATTTATAATGTTGCATATTCCAAGGTTAATGTAAACAGCATTCACAAATAGGACTAACTTTACAAATAAATTATTTCTGGCAGAACTTCTACTTACTTGCTAATTTCATATCTCTACTTTCTGTTGAAACACAAATACAATATTTAAAACAGTGAACTAACTCACTAACTATCTGAGAGTAATGGACAACTGACTAACAAATTGACTAACTCAGTAATCAATAAATCACTGTAACAGACTCACAAAATAAATCAATATCTCACTCACACTTATAAACTGTTCAAATTATTTCCCAAACTTTCAGGTTCTGGTCATTAAACTATGCCCATCACATGGTATGAAGATTGCTTCTGATTAGCAACATTCCAAGCATCTAAATTTTAAAAAACAGCCTACGGCAGTTAACTACAGTTATTTGATAATATGCTTTACTCTCTAAAATATTGAAAAGAATAAATTGAATTTTATAGTCTGCTTGATTTTTGTCAATACTCATTTTGATTTTAGCAAGATATTCATGAACCATTATGAATATATATAGATTGTTACGTCTCTGGTCGTTAGATAATTTTCCGTAAAAATTCTTTCCAAAGAAACTTTACTGCTACAAGTCCTTTCTTAAATAAAACTGGTTTATTTTTTCTGAATACAACTTTGCAATACACTTAATTTCCACAGTCACGGTATAACAAACGCTATAATTCACAACAAACGTCTCACGTGCTCGACTCAACAATACTCTCTCTCTGTCCGCAGTTCAATTACAAATTCATTAACGTCACGTCTTGACCGTCTTATATATAAAAGAATGCCGAAATCTAGTAACCTCCTGAGGATTCACGAAGCTTCGAGAATATGACGTGTTACTAGCATCACGTGACCTCCGCTGTCGTAACAATATATTTAAACATACTTCAAATACTTTTTTACAGCTATTCTAAAAAAAACCAAGCAATAAAAAAAAAGTTATCAATAATGGTAACTCTGATAGCCAGTAACAACTAAATACACCAAAGTCTGGATGAGTTGCACCAGTGATTTATGAACACCGGTTGATTAGCAACTGTTTCAATCAGTAAAGTAAGTTTAAAAGTAAGCATGCAATTCACCTTAGTATGAATCAACTCTTGTTTAGATTTTGCTGTCTCTGTTATCTGTAGAACAAGATAGAAATAGAAAGATTTTTAGCAGTTAATACATGAAATGTTGTTACATTCAAAATTAGCACAACTGAATAATTTCATCTTTCTACCTTATACCAGTGGCGTAGCAAGGGTTCTTAGCACCAGGGGGCAAAGACACTTTTGGCACCCCCACCTCTGAAATGTTTTGATTATTTGTTTTGTGACTCATTACCCACT